CAGCTATATCCTTTCTGAGTAAGACTGTAACCCAAAAAAGACGCACAAGACAAACCAGACATTAAGCTTAATCCTCTCTTTACAAGGACAAAACAAATAGAACCAAAAACATGAAAGAGGGAGTAATTGGGAAGTTGAGAAAAGAGAACCTCATAAGGAGAACAACTAGAGAGAAGGGAAGTAGGCATACGGTTTAGAAGAAAAGTAGCAGTAAGAACTGTCACACCCTAAAATGGAGTCAGAACAGAGGCAGAGAAAAGAAGAGACCAAGTTATCTCAAGGAGATGACGATGTTTACGCTCAGCTCGACCATTTTGGACAAATGTATCAGAATAGAAATTTTGGTGAATGGTACCTAAATTGGCCAAATACTCACAGAACTCACTTTTAAAATATTCCTCACCCAAGTCAGACCATAACATTTTAAATGTAGACTTGAACTGTGTAGTGATCATAGATTAAAATGTACAATATATCTGGTAGTAGTCGAACTTATGAGTTATAAGATAAACCCAAAGTGTAACGGGTGCAATAATCAACAAATGACACATGGTAAGCAAAATCTCCTTTGGTGTGAACAGGAAAAGGACCCCATACATTAGTATGGACTAAAGAAAACTGTGTATCAGAATAGTACTTTTTCAAAAAGGTAAGGCTGTCATTTTGGCATGTTTACACCCCTAACACTCCGTAAGTTGACGAAGAGAAACTTTACCCAATAAATCTAACTGAGCTAAATACCGTAAGCGGTTAGTAGATAAATGCCCTAATCTAGAATGCTACAAATAAAAAAGATTCAACAGAGAATCTACCTAAAAAAAGGAAAAGGCAGTCGGAGAGGGAGTTACACAGTCTTAGGAAGAACTCAACCCCAAAAGTTAGCTCAAGAAGTGAGGGTGCTATAGCGATTCCGGTTTTGACCCGACCTTTATTACATTCTGGACTCGGGTTTCGTGGTTTAATATTGTTATCCATGTCTTGTTTTCCCTCATTTGTCTTGAGTTTGAGTATCGGAATGTCTTGGGCATGTTCGGAATAGGTTGGTTGTTAGTTGTTTAAATTGTTGTTGCCCAGATTTAGGCTTCTTCACTCGAGCGAGACTTCTTGTGCTCGAGTGAGCCTTGTGAAGTTTGCCTCTTCGCTCGAGCGAGGTTTCTTGCGCCCGAGCGAGATTAGAGAGTCCTCAATATTTTTCCCAAACGCAGAATTTCTAGGAAAGTAAGGTTATTTGCTCAAGCGAGGCTTCTTGCGCTCAAGCGGCGGTGTGCGTCTGGAAAACTTCTGAAGGTATGTATTCTACGCTCAAGTGACGCTTCTTGCGCTCGAACAAGGTCACTTGTTATGTCTGGTCACTCGAGCGACAACTCCTTCGCTCGAACGAGCCTCGCGTATATCACTTCGTAGCAGAGGAATTTTATATCACTTTTTGATTTCTTATCTTCTAAAAACCCTAATCCGGCACTCTTTCTCTCTCTCTAAACACTCTCTCTCTCTACAAATACCCCTTGATCTTAGCATCTCTCTATCCTAGTCCCTTTGTTAAAGAGTTGGAGTATCTCAAGGGCTTCCCTTTGATCAGAGTCAAATAGAATTTGGGACATTTTTGAAGTTCTTCTTCTCCTTTGGGCTTCTACACTTGAGGTAGGGATATTCTACAATTTGTTATGGTTTTTAACCTAGTCATTCATTGTTATGTATAAATGATGAGGTTTGTGAGTGATTTGGGTAAAGTTAGGGTTTGTATCTAATTTGAAAGAGGGATTTCTATGTTGGGTTCTATGAATGAAAATGGGGTTTTGAGTATGAGGCTACCTTGGGTTAAAATGGTGAATTTGGCCTTGGGGTTGATATTTGAGAAAAGGGAAAAATTGCCCTAATTTGTGTTGAATAATTATTTGAATAATGCTTGGGACCCCTTTTGGGGTCACCCCCTCACCCCCCTTTGCCACGTGGCAGGGGGGTGATTGGTGGAGCAGGAAAAAAAAGAAAAAGAAAAAGAAAAGGTGACCAATGAGAGAGAGAGGGGGTCAAAGGGGGTGGGAAAAAAAGGGGGGATGGATCATTACTCTAATTATTTTATATAAATAATGAAATTGATTTGGGAAATGTGAGATTGGGAGAATGTGTGAATAAATGGTGTAGTTGGACTTGATAAATCACTCACCTATGAGAATTTGATATATTATCTGTTATAAAGATTGGTTATCTGTTCAGAAATATTTGTATTAGGCTATCGGTGGAAGATAGCTATGATTGTTGTAGAAAATACATGAAGATTAGGTGAATTGAAACTAATCATTTAAATTATGTCATTGAATATGACGGTATAATTAAATCATTGAATATATGTTGTGGATAGTCATTGTATATGATAATGCTTTTAAATATATTGTATATGTATAGTTGTTTGGGAGGAGATACTGGATGGACTCCACTTATAATTAAATTGGCCGGAATGTCCAGGGTGAAAGTCCCGAAACCTTGTGTATAAATGGGTGCCAATTCCCTCGGATGAGAATTCCCTAAAATGACAAAATTGAAGTGCTTGTGTATAAATGGGTGCCGATTCCCTCGAATGAGAATTCCGTAAAATGGTAAAATTGAAGTGTCTGAATAATTGTTGTATTGAATTGTGAATCACTGAGTTGTAGTCTCATTTGGATTGTTTAGATAATAAAGAACTTGACTTATGAATTGACTTGAAAGGAAATGAATTTACTTGAAATGAATAGATGGAATTGGATTGAGATATGAGCATCAATACTGAATGGTCATGGAAAGTATGCAAGTTGGTTATGAATGTTGAGCATTTATCTGACACTTATATCTTAGTTAAACTTCATAAATTATGTTAGTTTATCTCTACTGAGCTTTGGCTCACCCTATTTGGGAAACCATTTTCAAATACAGGTGATATGCTTCCTCCAAGGACATAGCTTGGGAGGACTTAGGAGCTGAAGGCTCTATTTTTGTTATATTTATGTTTAAATGTTTATTCAAGCCGAGAGGCTTTATATGTATTGAGCTTAGGACTCATCATTTTGTTGTAACCAAATCTTGGAAAGAGCCCGTAGGGCATTTACTTTGTTGTCAATAACTTGTTTTACATGCTGTAGATTCTGAATGAACGTTTATAAATGTATAATGCATGTAACACCTTTTGTAATATAAACTCTGATGAATGAAAGTATATCATTTTCATTATGCTCATTGATCTTATGAATGGATTATTCTTATTCCATTTTGGAGGCGTCACAGGTGCCCTCTCACTTATATGCTTAATATTGTTTTAGTACTTGGGCGATGTGGGACTTCGCTTCACACCCTCCCTCACGCCCAGCGTGCTTACTCGGCAACACCTATGGCAGGTCAAGGACACGCACCCTACCCATCCCTAAGTACTTAGCTCTAATACCATGTAAGTTTCTGAATAACTTTGTATATTCAATTGCAAAGCAATACAATGTGCACGTTTGATATATATATATATAGCAATTCTAGGCCTAATCCTAAATAAGAAACAAGAACAAACCTAAGAACAAAATATTCACACAACCTAACACAATCTAAAATATTCACATAAAAATATATGCTAATATTCTCACATCACCATCACATTTACACAAGCAATACTAATAAAAAATTATTCAAACACCTAAGCATCAATCAAAACAAACTCAATTAAAGTTCTGCTAGGGCCTTCCTCTATTTCTCTTACCACCCTAGATCAAATTACTCCTCTTGGCAAGCATGTTAATTGGTCTATATGATACACGTGACCATATTATCTCAAAAGGTCAAAAATAAATTTCAAGGTCATATCACAAGATTCTTAAAATGCTCAACAAGTCAATTGGAGCTTGAGCAAAATTCTATAAAAGTCAAAATGCTATTAATAGATGCATGGCTTGTAGTAATTCCATCTTCAAATCCCCTCCCCATCATGATGCAAGAGCGCATAGGGGGACCCCAAGAGTAAATGAAAAAATAAATAAAGTGAGCATATCAAGAAAATCAAGTCCAAACCCTGCATGATTCTTCCACCAGAAAACAATCAAAAGTAGTTCAACAAATTTTCAGCCAAAACCCTTATTAATATTAGCAACTTCATATACAAAATTCTAACATCTCACCAAAATGCTGTGGGTACCCAAGAGACTAGGATAAGAACTGACTCAGCAATTCTCTAATACAAGCAACTCAAAAACTGCAGCGTAGATGGACCATTCTAGTTTCTCAACTAATTTTTACCATCTTATTGGCTATTTTCGGACTAATGATGAAAGGTAAAACAAGTTTATTAAATAAAATGTAACGCAAAATAAGTTTCTATAAGAAATGATGATAAATCATATTCTACTGAAGACAACTTGCTGTAACTCAAGCTTTAAGCCGTTAGGTAATTAGATGTTCTAACTTCTAAACAACACTTGACAATCATCACCAAATGCGTTTTACGGAGTACCACCACACACAAATCAATATGAACACATCAAAAGTGCACATCTATTGACTATAAATCAGTTGCATCTTCCCTTGAATCACATTAGAGCATCTCCAAGATCCCAACCAAAATTTCAAAGCAAGGTAAGATATAATGGCCAATTTTTCTCAAACCGAAATTTGTTAATTAGAAAGCATATTCCTCCTACAGTTTCTTTCTAGATTCAAAAAAAACTATAAGCAACTCCAATAAAATGCACCAAACATGGTCAATAATTGTATGCACTACAACAACAAAATTCAACATGAAAAGCCTCAATAAAATGTAACTATACCTCCCTCTTCCTCAATGTTTGTCAACCAAAATCGCAGAACACACATTCAAGAAAGGCATTTATTCAATTATTAAATTGAACTTCGAGCACTAAACCAACATATTCAAATAATTGTATGCACTACAACAACAACAACAACAAAAATCAACATGAAAAACCTCAATAAAATGTTAATTGTCCCTCCCTCTTCCTCATCAATGCAAAACAAGTATTTCACTGAACTCAAATCTACCTCAAGGCAATAGTACTATATAGTTGTATATCTAATTCTATAAATCCAAAATCAAATCACACCCATTAATCCATTAGCTCTTAGTTTTCTCATCCACTGCAGCCGCCTCAATCTTCTTCTTGTTCGTCTCAACAACTGTGGCAACCTCCGCCGGCATATACTTCTCATCGTGTTTCGCCAACACTTCCATTGCCGAGAAATAACACTCACCACTCCTCATTTCCCTGAACCGCACTTCCGCCAAAACCCCTTTCTTGATCTCCTCCGTGATCGGCTTCACAATCCCTTCCCCACCACCACCGAGTGTCCCTCCCTGAGCAAATCCGGCAATCATCCTTTGTACCGCACCAAAATGTTGGTGATTGGGTTGGTGATAACGAACACCATCTCCGGAGAATTCGCCGGCTGGACCACGCTTCCTTCAAGGACAAGACTGCCGAGTCTAAACTAGTTTTTGTAGGGTTTGAATCGTACTTTGAGAGAGCCTCTATGGGAGTCACATAGAAGACCAATTGGTCTTGGAAATTGTAGGCCGATGATGATGATGACGACGATGACGACGACAATGAACCCTGCAGTGGAGCTGAAAGTTAGGGCATAGGTCCAGAGGCAGCAGTTCTGCAGGTGCCGAGCTCATGCTCCGATGTCGACTCAGTTTGACTAGACTGGTTGTTGCCCGGTGATGGAGAAGAATCGGAGGCCAAAGGATGCGAGATCGGAGGCGGCGATTGACGATTGTGATTTGATGATGGTGGTGGCGATTGACAGTGGAGATTTTGTAAGGGTGAAAATTAGGAGTTCATGGTGGTGGTGGAGCAAAGGAGATTGGAGGCGAGTCGATAGCAGAGCCGCTTCGCCATTGGATTTTCTCATTGATTTTCTGAGGAAAATTTTTCGTGAGAAAGTATGAGAAAATAGTCAACAACCCACTACAAAGTCCTCTCACTCACCATTTTGATGATTCTTCAGAGCATGCTTGGCATTGTTTTATTAGTTGTTGCAGGACAATATGGTGGAACATAATGAAGCTGAATCCACACACGGACCTCTGTGGGAAAACCCCTTTTAATTTGGGTAAATTACAAATACACTCATGAGGTTTTCTTTGAATACATGAAAAGGAAACATAATTTAACGTCAAGTTCTACAAAATATAACTTAAAAAGAGTAGAGTGAATGAGTGTCCTAAGCAAATAAAAACTACGTCTTCGACGCTACTAACCAGACATGCATCATTGTTTGGTTGTTTTGTTTCATTAACAAAGCATTTTCCTCCCCTTTCTAATAAAGTTTTTTAAGAAACTTGGTGTTAATTTATTTATCCTTCAGTTGGTGAAAACACTTTCTTCCATTTTGCTTTTGGTGTAACTCTCTTGTATTTCTCTCCCCATACCTAATTCCCATCCCTTCATTTTTTACTTTGACAAATCCAATCAAAAGCTTACTTTACTTTCCCTATGATCTAAGTAAAGACAGAGACAATGACTAGACAACTTTTGTCCCATGAATCTCTTTAAGTGATTTGTATTTTCTCATATGACTTGGTGGTTGGTAGAACAACTTTCATTTCTCCAAGAAATTGAAGTCACTTAAAAGAGGAGATGAAACTGATAAGACTTCAATTCACTCGTCAATTCTTGGTGAGATTAAAAAACTTTGCTTACAAAGAGTGTACCAAATGGTATCATTTGAATTAAGTAAGTAAGATGTACACAGTTTTTTATTCATGTACATGCACTGTCGAGTTGTTTTGAACATAACTGCAACCTGTGCCAAGGCCGGCCCTCAATCAAAATTAAAAAAAATAAAACAAATAAATGGGACTTGAGCAAGAGCTAAAAATATGGCATTCTTTTGTCTAATATCTACTGGTTTTCTTCTTATTTTCCTAGCCGAACTAAAAAAGGGATAATTTTTTTATTTTTTCCCCCTCTCAGCAAATCCAAGATTCAAACACAACATAAATGATAAGTCAAAATTTGTAGTTCAAACAGTCAAGAAAAGGAATACAGAATAATCGAATTGTTCCACAGAACATTCACAATTGTATCTGAATGAAGATATGGAACATATATCAAATCAAATCTTAAAAAAACAAAAAAAATTCCTAAATAAAATGACCTCCATTAAACATGGAAAAAGTTCAACCAGCCAATCCACCAAATGAGTGATCTTCTCCTCTCTTTTTTCCACCCCAAATAGTCCAATTTGCAACTTTCAGTCTTAAAATCATATTTATGAACTGTTTTTGTAGCCCATGTGTTGGGATGACTAACATTGTGTAAATGCAACTGTTAACAAGAATCCTTTTCTTTATCAAAAACTAACTCGTGACACACATCAGAGAAAATCAATTAAGATATAAAATTCAAGAAACACAAAACTGTTCATAGAATCAAACACAAAATATACAAAAATAGACAAGCTATTTTATAGGATTTGTTAGTTCGGTACAAATAAGATTTTTAGAAGTGGACCTCAATAACAAACCATATAAATTCTTGTCCATTCTTGTGCATTTTGTGTCTGATTTTTTGTCTGGTTTATGAGTTCGTAGGCTTATTCATCCAAGAAAAACAAAGAGGCATGGCCAGATGATTATTGATGATTAGATGCTCAAGAAAAATTTAAGTGGTTGCTGACTAGTGCCAAATGTCAAGCAAGAAAAATCTATCACACTAAAAAACACAAATATCAAAGCATGGAGGACAAAGAAATTTCTTTCTTTGGCAAACAGCTTTTCTAGAAACAGAAGGAAAACATCTCACAGGATTTTGAAACCAGAAGCAAAATAACACAGGTAAGCTGTTGCAACCAATACAAATGCCAAATATCATAATGTAGTAGTTCTCTTCCATGAAAAGAATCCATACCAACACATTGACATAAAACGCAAAACTGACATAATCAGAGGACGAGGAGTGAATGCATCGCAATGGCCAAACAGAGAAGTAAATGCCTCAAGCAAATGAAATTACATATCCTCGGTCCCAAAATTGGTTATTAAATTATTTAGTTGTTTGATAAGTTAAGCAAATTGCATTAATAAGGAATCAAAAGGGGACGGTATCTATGTACAAATGCAAGAGCAGCCTATACATTCAAATGACAATAAAAGGCCTACTTACAAATGGAGCAAATCAACAATATTAAGAAAATAATCCAGGTTGGACATGACTTTACCAGAACCCCAATTATACAAAATGGGCAAAAAACAACTTCTGATTTTACGCAATGACTCTTCTACCAGAACCCATTTCATCCCAAATATAACCAACATGAATCCACATAGTTCCCTATAGCCACCCTACAATGAATACGTAGATGATCAACTGATTCACCAGCACATTTACACAAGCAACACCAATAAAAAATTATTCAACCACCTAAGCATCGATCAAAACAAACGCAATCAAAGTTCTCCTAGGGCCTTCCTCTATTTCTTTTTCCACCCTAGATCAAATTACTCCTCTTGGCAAGCATGTTAATTGGTCTATATGATACACGTGACCATATTATCTCAAATGGTCAATATTAAATTTCAATATCACATGATTACTAAAAGGCTCAACAAGTCACCAGGAGCTTGAGCAAACTTCTATGAAAGTCCAAATGCTATTTATAGATGCATGGCATGCAGTAATTAGCAAAATTCTATAAAAGTCAAAATGCTATTAATAGATGCATGGCTTGTAGTAATTCCATCTTCAAATCCCCTCCCCATCATGATGCAAGAGCGCATAGGGGGACCCCAAGAGTAAATGAAAAACTAAATAAAATAAAGTCAGCATATCAAGAAAATCTTGTCCAAACCTTGCATGATTCTGTTAGGAATTGACTTTTCCTAACCAGAATCGGTGAGACACGAACTCACAAACAAAAAAGATAAAACGAATCAAACATATCACACATACAAGAATACAAGCATTTACATGATTCACCCTTCACTTATGAAGCAAGGGTACTTCGAAAAACATGTCGTACCCATACCGAGTACTTTTCGGCGTATGGTATCTCGTATGGTATTTCTGCATACATACTGGGTACACGAAACACGTACCCAAATTTTTTCTTCTAAATTTTTGGCGTGCCCAGACGTACTTAGTATATACCCAAGCTGTACCGTATCTCAATTAAAACAATATTTTCTTCTACTACAGAGACAAAACTCTTTTCACTAGACAACTTCTTTATTTTTAGTTTTATACTTAGCATGATTTTAAAATTAAATTATGATTTGTAAGTTGTTTAATATATTGGCATTTAATTTTGATTTATACCTTTACTTTTGGCATTAAATATTAATTATAGGTTTGATCTTAACAAATTAAACAATTTAATCAATTTTTGCATTATTCTAAATTAAAAATAAATATTTTTTTACAAGTGTATCAAGCCGTACCCATGCCCTATTTTTTTAGATTTTACCGTATCGACGTACCTGTATCGTACCAGTACGGGTACCCGTACCCGTGCTTCATAGCCCTTCACTATGATCAGTAAATAATACAACTTTCTTAACCTACAAGAAGCGCCCCCTTCATCTATTTATAAGTACAGAATTAGAGCAATATGGAAGCAATAGGGAAATTACCCTTGGACTCCATCCCCTTTGGAAGGAGGCCCCCCAAACCCCCCCATGGGACCCAAAGTTCAGTGAACAGTACTTATCAAGTCCACAGACCCAATAGATTCTTTCGCTAGAAAACAATCAAAAATAGATCAACAAATTTTCAACCAAAACCCTAATTAATATTACCAACTTCATATACAAAATTCTAACATCTCACTAAAATGCCATGGGTACCCAAGAGACTACTGAAAATAAGAACTCACTTGGCTATTCTCTAATACAAGCAACTCAAAAACTGCAGCGTAGATGGACCATTCTAGTTTCTCAACTAATTCTTACCATCTTTTAGGTTTTAAGCACACCATAGGAACTATTTTCTAAGTAATGATGAAAGGTAAAACAAGTTCATTACATGGCTCGATGCAATTACAAGCTTTTTGGCTAGTTCATGGAAAGAGAGAGTGAAGAGAGAGACAGGCACGAAAAATGGGAGAGGGGGGAGAAATCAGAAGAGAGGTACAGAAGAGAGAGAAAAGGGAGAGAATGGGTAATGATTATAGTTCTTTTTATCTATATTTATTTTGTCATTTTCCTAAATGTGATACACATATAGATATATTATGGTTGTCTGAATCATACAATTCATGATACGATTCGTACGATTCAATAAGATTTTTGCATAAAACGATTCAAATCACACCCTGGAATTGCAAACTCAAAAGAATCGTCCAATTCAAAGTCAGAATCGTTTGAATCGACCTGAATTGTCGATACACACAATTCAAATTTTTTTTTTTTTCTCCTACCTGGATGTATAAAATAACGTCGTTTGACATCTTTAACTCAAAAAAAGAAAAAAAAAAGAAAAAGATAAATAGAAGAAAATAGATATACAACCAATCGAGGAGAGTCAAGCTAGGGCTCGACGAGAAAGAGGAATCAAAGAAAGAAGGGGACAAACCTATCGAGGAAGAGAATGATTTGAATCTGCCAGGGAAAAATATGAAGGTATGTAAAGAAATCAATGAAGAAATTGTCTTCTTCCCATTGGCGGTACTCTTACTGCTCAGTTTTCTCTCGGTACCCAAAACTTGTCTGTTGTTAGCTTTTACTTACCATAAAGTCCCCTTCTGGTGTCTTATTGTGGGTGAGAAAGCATTAATGTGTATTGCCCTTTAATGGTGTTGTAAAGGTTCCACAGTCCTCCTTTAATAATATTATATATATTATATACAAACACTTACAATTTAATAAATAATATATAATATTTTATATAAATTATTGATTTTTTATTCACTGTTAATCGTTCTCACTTGTCATTATTGTCTAGTTGTATGTTATTTTCTTGTGTGTGAAATTTTCTTTTTTTTTAATTATTTTTTTATAGATATTCTTGTGAATCACAAGTTGTGATGACAAAGTCAAACAAAAGTGCCTGACCCAACATAGAAACACTGTACAAAAGTTAAAGAACAAAAACAAAGTAGGTAGCAAGTGAAATGCAAATATTGTGGAAATAAATATTGGGGAGGTGTGCATAGAATGAGACATCATCTAGCTGGTACTAAGAAAGATATTGAACCATGTCTTAGTTGTCCAGATGAGGACAGAATTTTTTAAAAAAAATATTTAGATGATGTTCAAAAGAAGAAAGACGGTTGTTTTGGTGAAGATCATGAGTATGAAATGGAGATCGGAGTTGATGAAAGTGATAAAACGGCTAAAACCATGCTTGATTTCGTCCAACATGGTAAAGCATCTCAAAAGATCACGTTAAATACCATTTGGAAGGCAAAGGAAAGGGAGGATGTTTGCAAGGATATATGCAGATGTATTTATGCGAATGCTCTTCCTTTCAATTTGGTAAAGGATTATTATTTTAAAATCATGATGAAATCTGTTGGTGAATATGGCAAGGGGTTGATACTCCCTTCATATCATGAGGTGAGGGTTACTATTTTGCAAAAAGAAGTGAAATCAATTTCAGAATTATTAGAAAATACAAGGATGAGTGGCAGAAGAATGGATGCACTATTATGTCGGATGGGTGGACTGATAATAGGAATTGCTCTATCACTAATTTTTGGGTGAACAGTCCAAGAGGGACTGTTCTTGAAGAGTATTGACACATCAGGTATGTTTAAGAATGCAGAATACTTGTTTGAGCTTCTTGACTCTATGGTAGAGGAGATTGGAGACGAAAATATTGCTCAAATTATAACTGATAGTGCATCCTCTTATGTAAAAGCTGGTTCAATGTTGATGAAAAAAGAGAAATCAATTGTTTTGGTCACCTTGTGTTGCGCATTTTATTGATCTAATTCTGACCAATATTGGGGATTTGCCTACTCTACTCATAAGGATACCATGTCAAAGGCAAGAAAGATTACAGTTTACATTTGTAGGTAACTTATTTCCATATTTGTAATTTTTTATTTTATTATATAAGTTATTTAAGTTTGTTTTATAGTTTTACTTTACTAACAAGATTATTTTTATTTTTAGACATGCCTGGGTCTTGAACTTGATGAGGAGGTACACAAAAACAGAGTTGACAAGACCTGCTGTCACCAAATTTGCAAAGTCCTATTTAACTTTGAGGCATCTACATGAGTTGAAGATTGAATTGAGGGCAATGTTTGCTTCTGAAGAATGACAAAGAAGTCCTTATTCAAAGAAAGCTGATGGGTTAATAGTAAGAGATATCCTTTTAGCTGACAAGATTTTTTGGCACTCAATCCAATATTGTCTAAAGTGTACACTCCCATTAGTAAAGGTTTCGAGACTTGTTGATGGGGATGCCAAGTCTGCGATGGGATAAATCTATGAAGCAACGGATAAAGCAAAGGAGCAAATAGCAAACAATTTCAAAGGATTACAAAGGAGGTATACACCTATTTGGGATATCATTGATTTGAGATGGGACACGCAGTTGCATAGGCCTCTTCATGCAGCTGCATATTATCTTAATCCAAGGTAATAACTAATATTTATTTATTTTTGTATTATTTTACTAGTTAATTATTAGTGAATTATATTATTTTACTTTAATCCCAAAGAAGGTTTCATTATGCTCTTGATTTTAATGCGGATTATGAGAAAAAGAAGGGACTTTATGAGACAATTGAAAGGATGTGCCTCACTCGTGAATTGCAACCAAAGGTGGATAGGCAACTAGATATGTTCCACAATGCGGAAAACATGTTTGGGATGGAGATGGCAATTCAAATGCGAAGCAAGAAACAACCTAGTATAACATTAACTTTTCATTTATTTAGGATTCCCATTTGTTTTACTAAAGTAGTGATTAATTTTTGTTAATACTTGATAGCCTTTTCGTGGGCCTCTTCTGGAGGCGGCTGTACAGAACTTCAACTTTTGACATTCGTGCTCTTAGCTTGACTCGTAGTGCAACTGAATGCGAGACGAATTGGAGTACATTTGATCAAGTATAAAAAAATATAAATTAATTTCAATAAATATTTTAGTTTTCAAATGAATAATAAATCCTAATTCGACCCTTATCCTTTAATAGGTGCGTACTAAGAGGAGGAATCAATTGGAACAACAAAGACTTAATGCACACGTGTTCACAAATCCGATTAGAAGCAAGACACCAACAAAGGGTAGAACAAGGGGATGCCTATGATCCTATTTTTCTATCAGATACGGAATCCGATGATGAATGGATAACCGAAAAAGAAGATCCTACCCTACTTGAGGACAACGAATGGCTAGATATTACTGAATGTTCCCGAGTTCAAGCGGGATCAAGTAGCAAAAAGAGGAAGAGAGGTAATATACTTTTATGCATTCAAAGTTCACGGGTCTACTGCCTGAATGTTCAAAATGATAATACAAAAACTTCTTACTTTTATTTGTAGGGCCCAAAAATCTCAACAAGACAAGGGAAACAAGTGGTTGAAGTTGATGATGATAATGTTGATGTTGGTGAAGAAAAAGAGAGAAAATATTGAGCAAGTAGATGTTGGAAGCGAAGATGATGAATTGATTGATGTTCTTGATGATGGCATGATTGATACTTATAAATTAGAAGTTCAATACTCCATTGTGTTGTATGCCACTATGCCTAATGATGTCATTTTGGATTTTGAATTTTGTCAAAAGCTAGTTTTTGAAGTTTGAACCTTGATGTATAAACTTTTGGAGCTTCCTCTTAAATCAATGAAATAATGATGCATGAATTTTATATTATATTTTTATTTTTTTCATTTTAAGCACTATATTTGTGATTTTATGTGTATATAAATTTGTATGTATATTTTTTATAAAAATATATATACATATGATGTTGTGAATTGTAATTCACGATTCAGTTTTTTAGAAAATCGATTCACAATTCAATTCACGATTTAACAACCTCAGATAGGAGTCAAACTAGGATAAGTAAGTTGGTTCTTTTTAATCAATAGTTTAACTCCTCACATAGCTGAAGTAGCTTATTTAGCCTCGTTCAATTGTCTTTGTTGTAGAGCCATCTAGATGAAACAGATCTGTGTAGCTAATCCCAATTAATTGGGACAAACGGCTTGTTGAGTTGAGTATTTTTTTTGTTTTTTTTTTTTTATATTTTTTTTTGAACGCATGTTGAGTTGAGTTTGAAATGATCATGCTGCAGTACTTCTAACTTCTAAAGCTTGGTGATTTTCAGACAATGCTTAGGCGATGCACTGGTGGCTGACAAGAATATCACAAACAAAAAACAAACACCTGCTTATGGATCTTCTAGACTTATTAATAAATAAAAACAAAAATAGATCAGATATTGTGATGGAATTCTATGCCTTAAATAGAGTAAGGACTTCTTTGGAGGTAATTAAACAAGGAAGAATATGAGAAAAAGGGAACTGAATTGTATTAATCGAAATTAATTATCACTTGCCACAAGTTACATGATGAACTTAAACAAGAACAAGAAACTTGAAAATACATTGATAGACAGGGAAACAATAACAAGCTATAGATAAAATACTCCTAAAATGCCAACTGTCTGCTCCAAGATAAAGACTACTCCTATAAATCGCATTATGTGAGTAGATAGCTTCTACCATAGGGATAGTTTATTCTCATTAGGAATAGATTATCTAGTTTTCTGTAATCAGTTATTTGATTCTTGTTTCTGATTCTTGTAATCAGTAACTTTGTTCCTGCTCTTTTGAATTTTTGTTATTGTTCTTGTTCAAGTTATTTGTAACAAGTGACAATTTCATTAATACTATATCAATTTTAGCTTGTTTCTTCCTGTCGATTTCCTCCAAAGAAGTCCTTGATCCGTTCAAGGCATAGAACACAACCACAAAACCTGATCAATTAGTTTCCATGATGGATTAGTATTGCACCCTTAGTTGTTAGAATATATATACACAAGCCCTTCAGAATTATAAACAATAAATGTAAAGCAGCAATCACCCCTTAAATTATAGAAACAGATCATCACTCCTATATATTTACTAGCTACAGCTTTTTTCATTTTCTAAGTAAACATGATCATGATCAGACATCGAATTAGTTACTTTGCAGGGTTTTGTTCTAATTTTAAAAGGCATTTATTCAATTATTCCATTCAAATTCAAACACTAAACCAATGTATTTAAATAGTAATTGTATGCACTACAACAACAAAATTCAACATGAAAAGCCTCAACAAAATGTTAATTATTCCTCCCTCTTCCTCACCAATGCAAAAAACTAGTATTTCACTGAACTCAAATCTTCCTCAAGGCGATCGTAGTATATATAGTTGTATATCTAATTCTATAAATCCAAAATCAAATCATACCCCATTAATCCATTAGCTCTTAGATTTCTCATCCACTGCAGCAGCCTCCTCAATCTTTTTCTTGTTCTTCTCAATCGCCGCAGCAACCTCCGCCGGCATATACTTCTCATCGTGCTTCGCCAACACTTCCGTTGCCGAAAAATAGCACTCCCCACTCCTCGCTTTCCCTGAAACGCTCTTCGCCGAAACTCCTTTCTTGATCTCCTCCGTTATCGGCTTCACAAACCCTTCCACTACCACCGAGTGTCCCTCCCTGAACAAATCCGGCAAAGATCCCTTGTACCGCACCAAAATGTCGGTGATTAGGTCGGTGATCACGAACTCCATCTCCGGCGAATTTGCCGGCTGGACCACGCTTCCTTCGAGGACCAGGCCGCCGAGTCTGAACTTGTTTTTCGTAGGGTTTGAATCGTACTTTGAGAGAGCGTCTGTGGGAGTGACGTAGAAGACCAATTGGTCTTGGAAATTGTTGAGGACGATGACGATGAAGCCTGCGATGGAGCTGAAAGTTAGGGCATAGGTCCAGAGTCGGCGGTTCTGGAGCTGCCGAGCTCGTGCTCCGATGTCGACCCGGTTGGACCGGACTGGTTGTCGCCGGGCGGTGGAGAACAATCGATGGCCAAAGGATGACGGTTGTGATTTTATGATGGCGGCGGCGATCGACGGTGGAGATTTGGTGAGGGTAAAAATTGGGTGTCCGTGGTGGTGGTGGTGGTGGTGGAGGGTGGTGGTGGTGCGGAGGAGATTGGAGGCGAGTCGATGGCAGAGTCGGCTAGCCATCGGATTTTCTCGGAAAAATTTCGGGGGTGATTCAGGACTATTTCGGGGTGATTCAGGACTAGGAAAAGTTATTTGGTGTCACAGGGCACCTACGTTGTGATGCGGTCAATGATTTGTGAGAATACGATAGTTTGTGATTGATAGACGAAGAAATAATTTTTTTTTATTATTATTTTATTTTTATTTTTATTTTTATTTTGGAATAAAGGGAATTGCATTTGATAAATAAAAGCAGAATAAGGATTGGTTTAAGGACAAGATATTTTAATAATTTTTTAATTTTTTATAAAAAGATGTGTAAAAAAATAAGGAGAGTGATATGATAATTTATATTAATTTTTAAATTTTTTGGGTAAAATTTCAAATTGTCAAATGACACCTAGTTTACATATTTCTTAGAAAGTAAACATCTCTATAGCATAAGGATTTGTCTCTTCTCATGTCTTTTCCTGTCCAGCATCCTCCAACCATATCTACCAGATGGAGACGCAAGGCGATGGCGAGGAGGGAGCCACGTCTGTGGAGTTCAATAGCCAAACAAACGACACCGATATATGTCATTTTGGCCAAGCGGAGGTAAGTAACAAAAAAAATTTTAATTTTATTTTGAACTGCATACCCAGATTTGGATCCCTTGTCTCCCACCTTTTTCGGAAACTCACAACTCAATCCCCTCCCTCTCTCTCTCTCTCTCTCTAGACCTACATTCTTGTGCCTCCCTCCTCATCAACAAACCCAGCAACGACGGTGGAAGGCTTCCAGTGTCGACATTTTAGCATCCCTAGACTCCATCGTTTGAGAAGTTTTGTATACCCAAACAATTGTAGACACTAAATGTCAGATTTGTTTATTTTCTTTTTTCTTATTTGTTTTTTTTTTTTTTTTGTATAAATCCATTCCAAGTGTATGATGAAATGCCTCAATCAACATATATATATATATATATATTTCAATAAGTTTTTCATTGAACAGATTTTAATATATCATATTGTAAATAAGTTTTTCATTTGTATTGAGCAAGTGCAAGCATTCTTCATATTTGAATATATTATTAATTAATATATCAATTTTGAACAAGTGCAATCAATAATACAGTATATATCAGTTTGTTCAAAACTATATAATATAGGATTAATTACCTAAAAGTCCTATATACATATTTGGTAGTAGCTTAGGTCCTGCCAAAAAGTTTTTGAACCAGTAAGTCTCATTTATAGGTACAAAGACGTTTTGCCCTTTAATTCCAAAACTGAGAATGTTCTCAATTTCAAAACTGAGAATGTTCTCAATTTATAATTATCAAAACTAAGAAATTTCTCAATTTTTTTCTAGTATGAACTAAGAATATTATCAAAACTAAGAAATTTATAATTATCAATTTTGAGAAATTTCTCAATTTTTTTCATAATTAAAATTGAGAATATTATAAACTGAGAAGGTTCTCAATTTCAAAAAACCCCACATCTCTCTCTCTCTCTCTAATAGCAATGGCATTTGTGAACTCAGTGAAAATCAAAACCTCACAATCAATGGACTCATCGCCTTTTGGACGAGTCTCCGACGCCGACTCTAAGTCCTCATCTTCCGATGAACTCTCATAAGCAATAGCCGCAGATCTACCCAATTCTTCACCCAACCCTCCCAGAGACCTCGAATTTCAGGTGGTAACGAGGCAGATCGGCAGCGATAGAGATAGGTAGATCTGTTCAAAGACAGATCAACAATAACCTCAACCTCACGCATGAGCCACTTGCGGATTTGAGTTCGTTATCTTCATCAACGACAACGACACCGCAGATCAGAGTAAGGGAAGGAGGCGGTGATTCTGGTGGCGGAGCTGGATTTCCAGCAACGAAGCTCCATTGAGGACGTGGATGAAAGGCTTGAGGACGAAAGGGAGAGGGAAGGCGACATAGAGACAGCTCGTCTAGAGTTTGTTGGAAGGATAATTTGGTCTATTAAAAATTAATGGGACTTGAAGGAGCAAATAATTTTATCTAGGACTGCCACGACCCAAACCCGCCCCTAAAAGTTTGGTCCATGACCAGCATGTAGATAGGTCTCAAAACAAATTTCCAAAAATAGTTATTCAAATACGAGGCCTTAGCGGAAGCAAATATCTATATAAGATAACATCCATTGAGCTTGTGCATACATACTGGCTTAAATAGATTTAAGCATTTAAATACGCTTCTATACTTATATATACAATCACAAAATTATACAGATCTCACACACACACACTTATATAAGACTCCATAAGTTACATGATTCCTAGTAATCAAAATTAAGGCCTCAACACGGAGGCTTACCCCAAGTAGCTTGACAAAGAGGCGGCCTTCAATGCAATTCTAGTGTTGGTCCCCAAAGGCTCACCTATATGAAAATTTATATAAAAACTGAGTGAGCAAGGCTCAGTGAATAATAGCAATGTAAGGAGGTTAATTAAACAAGCATAGTCTTAGAGAATATAAATATGCATCTCAAACCATACACAAATCTTAATCATATTCATATTTTAGAACGGTCTCACGCCCACATGTAATACAGAACGGCCTCGGGCCCACATATGATACGAAACGGCCTTAGGCCCAACATATTATACAGAATGACCTTAGGCCCACATCTCGACAGTTGTCCACACATTGGAGGGTAGGTAGAACATCGACATGTACACTACCTCCCTTGGCCGCTGGCCATGAATCATAGTCAATTCGAATCATATTAGGGTCGGTGAGACATCGGCATGTCATCACCTCCTTCAATCTTAGAGTTGTCCATACTCCGTGGCTTGTAACTGAACAGCCTCGGGCCTATCACTAGCATAGCAGAACGACCTTGACCTACAACACAATGCACATAGCATAATATGATAATAAAGCCAATCACTTTCTTATTCTTTAATCAATTAGCCATGGTGGTTCTAAATTCATTAGTCTTCAATAGGTCATAATCCATGTCTCAAAAAATAGGAGAAATCGATAGAAAAATGGTTTAGATGAAGAAATGGTATAGAACCAGTAGACAGAAAGTGAACAATCATCACTAAATTGGGCATATCTATTTGTGTACTAAGAATTTGGGAGTGAAGCCACCACCATTGGAAACTAGACTTTCGGGGCTTGAATTTAGGCTCAAGAATCACCCAAAACGGAGTCCGGATGCAAAAGATATGCTTATTTAAAGTTGGCTGAACAGAGTTATCCCCGCACATGCGGGAATTGGGCCGCACATGCGGAACCACATGCTTTTTTAGCAGAATCTAGAAATGGATTGCCGCACGTGCGGGAAGACCCGCCGCACGTGTGGCTTTGGGTTAGTTTGCTGTCCGGAAATGTTGTTTGCTCTAATTCTTGCTCTTTCCATTTCTAAGCTTGGTTTCTAACTCAAATCACCCAAAAACATGTAAAATTACACCACAATATGATAAATTAACATCAATCAAATGTAATTTCATTTCAAAGAAATCAATTTTTGCCTCAATGTTCATGATCAATGCTTTATCTTTCATAAGCTTCACGGTTCTCAAAGCACAACCCACAAATTCACTTGATTCTTGCATGATCGTGTTCTTTGAACAATCTAAAGTTCATTTCATGGTATCCATAAGGTTGAGCTTCAATGATGAACAAAATTATAGAACTCAAATTTTAATTCCTCAAATTTAGCTCAAGCAAATACGTACATAAAACCCTAACCCAAATGGATTCAAATCTTCCAATATCTTTATGATTTCACCAAATTGATGCTTTAAACATAAGGTTTCAAGATAGGTTTTCATACCTAGTTCAATCTTTGTCCTTCTTCTCAGTTCTCTTCAATTTCCTCAAGCCTCCATAGTTGATCTCCTTCTTCTCTCTTCAATCTCTTCAAGTTTATCCTCAAGCTTCCCATGGATGGTGAGCTCTCTCTCTCTCTCTCTCTCATAGAGAAGCTTCCTCTCTCCTTTGGTCTCTTTTCCTCTCGGTTCTCTCCCTCAGATATTTTGTTTTTGACACCAACATGATGAGTCCCTCCACTCATATGGCATATCTAAATATATACACACACACATAAGCTTATCACAATAGGGAGAGCCAAACGCACCCTTACGAATCGTATGAAATCAAATTTCAATTAAACTTTTCAGATGACTCTAAAAATTATGCTGATCATAAATATAACCCCTATTCTGGTTTCTGAAGCCTCTAAAGCCCTCAATTTGCAGTACAAGGTTAACCACCTAAACATGCATTAACGAATTAGACGAATTAAATTTCCAATTAATTTTCCCAAGTTGTTTTAAAAATTCCCATTAACATATGCAAGTACTCAATTTTGATTTCTGAACCCATTAAGGTCGGTAATTCCAATTTTAAAGTCGTAACTCAACAGATAATGTTTCAATTCAAAAGATATAATCACATTAAAGCACATTAACTCATAGGTAAATAAGGATAATTTCTTATACGCATTTTGGGGTCGTTGCAAGGACTTAATGGATTATAAGTTCACAAAATGGGACTTATATGTAAATGGCCCAATAATATATTAGTTTGCTCAATGATATATTAACTGATAGGTTCACATGATATATAATGTTCAATAATATAGTGGGAGCATATATATGTTGATAATTTTGATTATCATAATGAAGGCTTGGCTATGAAAAACAAAGCATTAATAATATAATGTTCTCAAAAAGCATTAAGATGATTGGTTCAATTGTTTCATTATGTTCCATGAACTCAATGAATATGTGTATATATATATATTGTAAACAAATTTGAAATATCTCAATGAATATATATATAGAGAGAGATTTTAAACAGATTTGATATTAGGTTTTGAAATAGATTAGGGTTTTAAATAGATTGGGATTTTAGGTATTAAAAATTACAGTGTCTGGTATATTCTTTTTGGTGTTGAAAAACATTAAATCATTGAACATAACCTTTATGGAAGATGGTTACAAGAGGCATCTTGTACTTATTTAATCATTTAAGAAAATTACCTGTCTAAATATCATATTTACTCATGTTTTGCTTTCACATATTTCAATGGATAATCATGTTTACTTTTTTGCATTTTAGGTGTTGCATATATTGAAGATAGATGATTTAACAATTGTTACCCAAATGGATGTTC